ACTACCACTACTACTATTACTACTAGGCTTTAGGCTTTAAGGTCTGAGGCTTAGGTTTTAGGAATCTGCTGTAGTCGTGTTGGTAGCTTCGGTAGTGCCAGTGAGTGGTGGTAGTACTGTTCCCAGACTCATCTGTCCGGTTGACAAATTTCATAAAGAACCTAAACCCTAGACCCCGAAACTCTAAACCTTAAGCCCTACGGTAAACCCTAAACTCCACATGACTTTGCTGCCTTCTCTTTCAAGGTCGTTCTTCGTTCGCTGTGGCTCTTCCCTTCTCTACAGGCTTGGGCACTTCACGGTTGAGAATTGAGGGCTACGTTGTTGGTGGTGTTTGGTGGTATGACCCTTACGGCACCGCTATAAACACCCTATGGAGACCCTTATAGGTCCCTTCAAGAACCCTAAAACGGGACCCTAACTCAGAGCAGTATGAGGTTCGTAGGCTTAGGAGTTATGTATGGGGTTCAGAGTTTATGTGGTTAGGCTTCGAGGTTTTGGGCAACGGTTTAGAGCTGGGCTGCATGCAGTCCTGGTTGAAAGTAGAAGTGGTGCCAAACTGATCATGCGGCAGTGCAGGGAGTAGTATAACGGCCTTCATGAGTTGGAGTAGGGTTGGGGGGGGGGGGGTTATATTGCACGATAGCTATGTCAGGACTATAAAGGAATACTAGTGCGAATCTTTTCCTAAAGACCAAAACCCACAGTGCACTGTTTCTCTAGCAACACGGAGAGACCCTTGCATATCTTAAGCATCATCTGTATCTATATGTATATATATATATACACACATGTGCGTATGTATGTAGGTATGTAACCATGTATGCATGTACGTGTATATGTTTACATGTGATAGTGTCCTTCATCCCAAGTTTGCTTGCTTGCTCATTCTAACTTTTTAAGCGGTCCCTGCGTAAGTCGACTTGAGGAATCAATGGATTTGGTAGGTGTAGGGCTTCACGATCACTTTAGGCCTAACCCCTTCAGCACCGAGACCTTGAGCCAAGAAAGGTCAGGGTTCAGAGCTGAAGCCACCAAAGCCGCAAAGCTCACCCGCACCCGAAACCCTAAACCCTAAACCCCCAAACCCTAAACCCTAAACCCCAAACCCTAAACCCTCACTCCTTCAAGCGCGGAAACCCACCAAGCCCGAACACGCACAAATTGCTCAGCTTTAAAACCGACCCTACACCCCAACTTCAACCCTAGACAGGATAAAGCAGGAGCCTTAATAATCAGAATAGGTTTTGGGGTATATTCTACCATAATAAGGAACCCCCGAAAATATGGGTAATGCTTTAGGCCCCCCTATTACCTACAACCATTCGCTAGAGGCCTGGGGGACGAGATTTCACGTCATTGCCGATGGACTTGAATGCCACCGAAGTCGAGGGGGGTCTGTCGGCGCCCCAGGGCGTGACACTTTAGGGTTTTGGGGTTTAGGGTTTTTTCGATAAATATATTGGGCGGGGGGGGGGGTTCGAAAATAGGGGACCCTAAAATAGTAGGATCCTTGTTATAAGGACCCCAAAATAGGGTACCCCTTTTTTTCGGAAACTCCCACACGCCAATTACATGTGGTGTGTAGAGTTGATGAGTTTGGCCCTAAGTTCCCAAATGGGCAAGGGTTTAGGGTTTAGGGTTTAGGGCCTAACGCTTGTAACCACAAGCCCTGACAAACAAGAACTCAGTTTCGTGGATGCATCTACTCAACCCTTGAAGTGCCCAAACCCCACTTCCTAGGCCGCCTATGCCCTCGATCTCGCACCCAACTCCCCGTCATCGTCATCGTCATCATCATCATCATCATCATCATCATCGTCATCATCATCAACAACAACAACGCCCTCATCCCATTCGGTCATAGCCAGCACACAGTTGATTTTCATCTTCACCGCTATTACCATTGAAATCCTTCGTCGGTGTAGCTTTCTTGCTTCAGATTTGAGGTGTGCGGTTAAATTCGATAAAGTTAGGGTTTAGGGTTTAGGGTTTAGGGTTTAGGTACGAAACCCCGGAGCTCGCAAGAAGAAGGAGGGTTTGGAGTATCTAGTGAATCCAGTGCTTAGTACCCTAAAACCCTAAACCCTAAACCCTATAAACCCTAACCCCAGTAGTCTACAGGGCCCAGGGTCACGAGTTTCGGGTGTTGAGTTGACTGTCGAGGGTTTCGAGCTTTCTTTTGGGCTCAGCGTTAAGGATATAGGCACATCTCTTTTTTAGGGGCCCATTTAGGGTCCTTTTAATAAGGGCGCAGTAGTACTGTTTTGGTTTATGACAAGAGACCCTAATTTAGAGAACTACCCATGTGGAGTTGCAGGTTTAACATTTTGCGGTTCAAGAAGCGCAAAACAAACATAGACTTGCCTGAGCCACTGCCTCCAAACATTAAAGCTCTAGGCCCTCGGCCAGAAAGCCGATTCTGCTCACAATCAGAAGCTGTACAGCGTTTAGGGTTTAGGGTTTAGGGTTTAGGGTTTAGGGTTTGGTGACGCACCATATACTGAGTGTCGCAACATTACATGAGTCGGCCTTCGTTTGACTATATCGCATGAGGTCTGTTGAAAATCCAGACACGTGTTTGCGCCTGGATCGTAAGGGGAGCAGCTCTGAGTAGCCATACACAGACGATAGTCATGTAAAGTAGCCTCAAGCTTTGCACCCACAATCATACTACGAACCCTAAACCCTAAGCCCCCGAATAGTACTACGACCCCAGTCATACTACGATCCCAAACCCTAAACTCAAACTCCCAAATAATAGTCATACTACGACCCTATACCTAATTATACTACGACCCTCAGAGACGCCTTGGTTCCCAGTTCCCAGGCTGTTCACCGAGATTTTCCAGGCACACCCCGCAGGGATGCTTCGTAGTAGAACACCCAAGATCTCTCCGATAATCCTAAACCCTATAAACCCTTAAACCCCTAGACCCTAAACACCCCTAAACCCCTAAACCCTAAAAACCCCTAAACCCCTAAACCCTAAACCCTAAAAACCCTCAAACCCCTATACCCTAAAAACCCTTAAGCCCCTAAACCCTACACCCTCGTACGCATTTGCTGTTTCGGTGGTGGGAGGCGTGGGGGGAATCATTCCATGAGCTGAAGAGGAATTAAAAAGGATTCGCTTACCATTCAGGGTTTAGGGGCTTTGGGGTTTAGGGTTTAGGGGTTTAGGAGTTTACGGGTTTAGGAGTTTAGGGTTTAGGGGTTTAGGGGTTAGGAGTTTAGGGTTTAGGGGTTTAGGGGTTTAGGGTTTAGGGG